TATATAAAAAAAATAGTTGGGCTTTTCCATGACGGGATGGATATCCATCTGTGCGCCAAATAATATACTATTTTCACACTTTAGCCCCACAAATACAATCTACCATACTTTGAACCCTCGAAACATTAACTTATTTTAAATGGGTTTGATTACGATCAAAATATTATTTAATTATGAATAGAATTAATTATGAAATTGATTAATAAGTATATATTTGTAAAGAAGGGAGAACTTAAAAAAATCAATGTTATTATCTTCTATTGAGATATATACGAGTAATATGTATTATGAAATTGATGCCAAACGTAAATCTCCTTTGCAAGAAATCCAAATCATATAGGATTCTGAGTTACACTCCAAAATAAACTACCTAAAATACAATAATAATAAATATAAATACATATAACTCATATATATCTCAATATCTTCCCTTTTTCATTAAATAAAAAAGAAGCAAAAAACATATTGACATATTGTTTTTACTGCTTTTTCATTAAATAAAAAAGAAGAGAAAATAAACAACATATTGCTTTTACTGGACATTTGTTTTTCTTGAGTTTTTGCAAACTATAAGATAAAATAAAGCAAATAAAAATGTACAGTTTCCTTCCATTATTGTTTAATTGCCAATTATCCCACCAAAATCATAAATTGATCATTAGCCACATCACCTAGTTCATTTCCCCCTTTTTGGTAAGTAATAATAATAATAGGGGGCCTATAGCAAGGAGTGAAGTCGAGAGTTTTGACATGAAGGGTGAAAACCACCAAATCCTGATGTAAAACAATTTTTTACTACTGTCATTAACATATTTACGAACATTCAGAATAAACAACCGTAAGATCATATGCGTAAATTCTCAATTACTGTCAGAAACTAGAGCTGCAAAAAGTAGAGGTTAGATCGGGCGAGACATTCTTTGGAAACAATCCAGATGTGGCACAAGTTGATCAAGAATTGAAGATCCACTGTTCAAGCCCTGAAATCCATGTAGCAATATTGGTATGTCATGTACTAGGAGAGACGATTAACCGAAAATAGAGCTAGTTGTTGACTGTCGTAAAAAAAAACTCAAAGCAAGAAATATATGAAATTGTTATAAAGTATAAGCTTTTCATCTGACCTGCTAACGTAAGAGTTGTCGGTTGTATTGATGACAATCTTATCTCCGGTTAAAATATGAGCTGGAGTCTATTATAAGATGCCGAAAGAAGTTAGATGAAGTTTATCATACATTTCTAGAGTCAAAATAACCATGCAATTAACATTAGCAAGATGCTTAATAAACTTTCTGAATAGCTTATAAGAAAGAAAACCTGCTCTTTATGTAAATCGACAGTAAAGAAAAGAAGAGGTGAGGTTAATCACAAAAATGCCATTTGGACAGTGGACAGTGTCATGCAAAGAGTAAGAGTGTCCTCATCTGTCCTATGAGAAAAGTTATAACAAGTTCATATTGTATTCCAAGCTAATCTTTTCTTGTTTATCCATATCTTTAGTTGTTGGAACTTTCAAATATATGTACTATTTGTTTCCAGTTTCTTAATACCCCAGAAACAAGATGACATGATTATAATTCTTGGAGCACATACAATCAGAAAATTCACAGTTTAATAGGGAAAAATATCTTCAGTAAGTTATGAAGCTGATGAAAACAGTATTTAGGACACCATTCAGTAGTAGGAAAAGGTAATACGAATTGAGAGTTTGTTAGCCTTACCTGGACAATGCGACCATTTTCCAACAAAACCTTTTTATAACTGTGAGAGAGAAGAATGAAGAGAAAACGTTAAATTATCAGGAAATAAAAAATGTCGGTGAAGGGAACACAACCAATCAAGAAGGAAATGTTTAGTTCTAAATCAAAGATAATGAGTTGCACCACAAACCGAAAAGTGATATGAATTTTGAAAACATCAAAATGTTCTATATAGTATTTATAACCATGATCAGTTCCTCATTGCTTATTATTCAGTTATAACCAGACAAACCAAATAATCACTGAGGGAGATGATCTTACGGTGTAGGTCCACTTCCCTTTACTGCGTCAGCTGCTTCAGTAACTGTACATGTTACTCGATTTGGAATTGATGCCGACAATGGTTTGTCATCATAAAGCTGGACAGTGACTTCCATTTCCTCTGTGTAACGGAAGCAAAAAAAAATCATGGTGTAATAGGTTAAACACAAATAATATTTATCATGTAACATGTATTCTGTAAACATACTATTATCAATTCCTTTATGTACAACCATTGGCATAAAGCAGGGGGGCAGTTCAGAGGTAGCAAGTTCAATAGATACAACAGGAAATTGCCAAACTAGAAAGATATAGACACCCGTTCACCTTTTTCTCCATAACATGAGCATTGTGGAAAGCAAAAACATTTTTTTAAGACAGAAGAAATCATTTCACCAATAGAAGCTTCGACTCATTGTGCAAATTTTCGTCTGTGATGAATAATTTTCTAGTATTCAGTATGCATATTAGAAGTCTTAGACTCATTTTTTTGAAGTTAAAACTCTTATGCCAAACTATCTTGCCTTTATCAATAATCTTGTTCACTATGCTAAACTAAAATGATTCCACGTTCTGCATGTGACATTGTTCCAATCCTCTAGGAAAAGAAGTTTGCCATAATTTCCTAGTCCAACAGTCGTACATAACTCTTAGGAATAAATATTCTTCTATACACCAACTTAAGGCAACAGCAGCTAACTGCATTTAAATATTAACTCAAATGAGCTCCTCTTTTTTTTTTTAAAGACTATACGCTTATAGTTTGGCATGTGCACAAGCAACATTGCACAAGAACGTAAAAGGTAAGGAAGAAAGGTGCATTGCAAATTTATAGGATGCATAAGAATTACCTTGAAGATAAACAAGAGAGTCGCCAAATAAGTGTCTAGGCACTTCTAGCTGGTTGTATGTACCTTGCCTGGAAAATAACAAATTGCAACACATCAGCGAACTCCTTTATATGTGTCATCCGAGTGAAACTCGAGAATACTTGTCGAAATCAAACAGTAGTACTCACTCCATTAAAACAATGTTTCCAGTTTCATCGTCAGTGTAAAGGTACTCCAATGACTTCTCCTGAACAAATATCTCTGCACAGCACTACAAATTTAGCTGACTCTACACAGTACATACATGGATAAATATGCAACTTTAAGAACAGTGCCCTGAGCTGAGCATGAAGTTCAGGTTAGCAGATATCATATACAACATGTTATATCATTAATCATTTTTCCATACGCGCAAAGGTCTATTCCATGCATAATCAGTACTCGAATATCCATACATACATTCCAAAAAAGTCTACCTAGTTAATCAGTAGGCAGAGATATGAACTTCTGAGTTCTGACACAAGAAAAATATCCTGATACGCTATAATAGATACTGATCTGCGGGCTAGGCAGATACCCTCAGTGCATAATATATTTAACCCAGATTTACAGTAAAACCTGTCAATTGGTATTACGTTCAAAATTGCTCGCAAAAAATCTCACGCAAATGGATTGCTGTGCTCGGATTAGGTACAAACACTACCAGAACCACTGAATCCATAGTAAGAGCTCTGAATTTATAATGACTATTTCATTTTCAGTGAATCCCCAGTCCAAACAATTTTGACCAATGAATTTCTTTCCGAACTCTAAATCAACCATCACTTATATGCAACATAAACCAGAGACCTCCAATTGAGAATGAAAAAGAATGAGAAACTGAAAAGAGTGGAACATCAGAAATTGTGAATTAATTTTATTTTATTTTATATTTCTTAAAATCTATCCTCGTTAAAGAACGAGGAAGTGGTAACTATATCTTTTTCTGCCTTAATATCCTTCTCCTCCACAACATGGTGCATAACTTCAGTAGACAGGAATCTCGAAGCTCAACTACAAATGTAACAGGGATTATCTTTCTAGTTCACCTTACCCTTAACTTCCTGAACATTATATGTTCAATATTTAGGAGACATCAAGTAACTAACAGAAGAAATAATTATACAGGTAGGTGTTCTTTTTCCATCATGAGAATTAGGACAACAAGATGCATACTTTCAATTGGCTCATCAGTTCGCAACCTTTCGTTCACTTTGCTTCCACTGTCGACATCACGGAGCTCCACCTGTTAGTATTTGGCCACGTATAACAGAAGAATTTAAATTCAATTATCTTGTTTGTCAATCGACAAGGATTGAAATTCAACAGGCATTCAAATTCAAGGTCTATAACTAGAAGAACATCTAATATGTGAAACAATGAGAAATTTGTTGACACAGTATATAGGACTAGTCGTTTATAGGCACAAAAATGTAAGACATAGATGAAGAAACCTGTATTATTGCTCCTCCTCTTCCTTGGGTACTGTGTTGCGCTTTTACCACCTAAACATTAGCACATTTGTATGTTATATTGAGCCATAACCATAACTACATCTACATGATCGTAGTACATAAAACATAAGAATTTACTGTCAAATAATTACCTCATAAATCTTTCCTGAATAGCATCAGCCCAAGATCCACAAACCATGTTACAATAATCAGTCAGTGTATGCGGTTAAGTATTCATATGTAATCAAAATACAATCAGAGTAGAAAAATTACCTCTTCTTTCAATGACGTTTCCTGGTCTCACCTGCGCAAAATCAAAATACACATGAAACCCCAAAACTGAAAATTGCGACTACAACACGACTCGGTTTGCTAATCTATTAACTCATTAACACGGAAGGACGAGAGGAACGAACAAAAAGGAAGTTTCAAATTGAACGAGGAAGATCTAAAATAATAACGGGATTGCAAAATTTTATCCACGCAGAAACTACAATTTAAAAAAATTGAAGAAACGCATCGAGTTGAACGATAAAATATAGAAGATTACATCGCCGCCGGAAAATCTGGCGCCGCGGAGCTGGGTAGCGGACCACGGGGATTCGAGAAGGCGTCCTCCGGAAGGGTGAACCGACGGCAGAAATTTGACCCGGCGGGTGCAAGTTGTGAAGTTTTGACTACTGAGGGGTGTCGTGGCGGCGTAGCGGCGGAGAACGACGGAAAGGCGTTTAGTGTAGGAGTCTCGCGGCGCTCATCAAGCATGCGTGCCGTCTGCCCTTTTCTTCTCTTACTGTGACACTGTTTAATATTTATACTATAGACTGTAGTAGGGCCGAGGGAGTAATAAACAAATACATCTATTTAATTATTATTATTATACTTAATTAAAAAAAAATATTTTATTAAACAGTGACTTGGGACAAAAGTAAATATCTAAGATAACTTTCTCAATGGTCAATGAGTTTCATATTTTCTGGAAAAAATCCTAAAATAACTCATTTTAAAATAATGTGAAATTCATTCAAAAGTTGGTTTCTTCGGTGTTGGGCTGTGTTTGTATTGGGCCACAAAACTTCACCCACGAATTTGTTGGATTATAATAAATAATTTCACCACCATACTTTGATTAGATTACAATAAATAATTTGTTAGGTTGTGGATTCAATATTTAATTGAAATCTATAATATTGTCTACATTCTAGATAGTCAAAAGGAGAAAAGAAAAGTCAAACCCTTTTTTCTTCTATTTTTTGGCTTAAGATATTTTTATGTAGTTGTAATGTTGTATAGTATAAGTATAGTATATATATTTGGCTGATTTATAATTAATTAATAAATTTAGTATTTCTGAATTAAATCATTAATTAATAGATTTTTTAGCAACATCCTGTACATTCTCTATAGAATATTGTAGCCAAAGGTGTAAAATTTATAATTAATTAATTGATAAATAAAAAATCCAAATTATAAAAATCCTAATAATAAATGCGATGGGAAGAGTTAGGTTTTTGCAGGAAAAGATATTTCAATTGTCAATATAGCTACACACCCATAGCCCATTGCAATTTGATCTCTAGTTTTGTTTGTGTTGGTTAGAAATCAATTGTTATTGTTGAATTAGGATATTTTTGTCAATTGGAATGGATTTTCCGATGATGGGAAAATGTGTATCTATGTTCATCTGTATATTGGCAGCATCGGCCACGACGTCTTTCCGGCCGGTGTATTCTTCACCTACTTGTCAACGTCATTTCAAATCATTTCTTCACGATCTCAATTCTCAGTGCCCGCTCTTCATCCCCTGTTCTTCGCCTATCCAGGTGATTTTAATTTTTTTTTTTTTTAATTTCCTTCCTGTTTTGTTCTTGTTATTTATGTGAGTTATCAATTATGTTGACGTCTGTGTTTCATTTACCCTGGTTTTCTGCTGCTTCTGCTTATGTTCTTTTACCTTTTTTTTTTTTTTTTTTTTTTTAGAATTATTATTATTTATGGTGATAGTTATATTTCTATCACTGGATTGTTTTGTTTTGGATGTGTTATGGAATATCACTTGTTGAAATATTGAGGATGGTGTCGGTTTTTCTTCTCTCAGCTCGTAAATAATCTGAAGCTAATTTAAAGGCTTATTCTTGATATGGGAATTGAGTACAAAAATGTTAACCGTGTCTACAGAGACTGGAGTGAGTTTTAAAATTAAAGTTAATTGTATTGGAATGGAATAGACTCTTTCTCTAAGAGCCTTTTGGGAGGACTGTTCTTGATTCTTCATTAGTGCAGATGACCTATGAAGGATATATTTGATGCTTACTTAGAGCTACGTATCGCTATTTAAATTTTCAAGTTATGATTTTCGACTACTAGGATAAAGGTACAATGTAAACAATATGAAAACTGAACAAGAGTGATGCAGAAAGAGCCAAGTCATTTGGTTAATAAGTAATGTCAGACATTAAGCGGAAACTAGATGGGGGGAGGAATCTTTTATTCTTACCGAACTATCAATTGCTAAGACACACAGAAAAGAGCACGAGTTATTATAGTTTTCTGTGTTTTGTCTTGTGAAATATATAACTCCTCAGACTCTGTCTTTATTTTTCGTGATTTGCAGAGTTCTTAAAGATACATTTTTTTTTTTTTTTTTTTTTTTGAATCAGTCATTGATGCAATTTAATGTGATTGAAGGTGGATGGAGAATCATTAGAAAGAGCTATGAGCTCCAGTCAGAAAAATGAATATACGGCTGTTCTTTTCTATGCTTCATGGTGTCCATTCTCAAGCATCTTTCAGTCAAAGTTTTCTACTCTCAGTTCCATGTATCCTCAGGTCAAACATCTAATGGTCGAACAAACTTCAGTCCTGCCCAGGTGGGTGTTTTTAGCTCTGTCCTCTCCCTATAATGTCATTTCCTTTAATCTCAAAAGTGCTGGTTTTTAGGACATTTATGAGTTCCAGACTGTGTATTATTGAATGTAATCACATATCATTTCCACTCATCCACCACCTTATTACCTACTAAAGAAGTTGATATCTTCTTACAGGTGTGGGTCAGCTTTACCACTATTAGTCTACTTACTAGCATGTGAATTTATATGACTTCATTTACCAAATTTTATGAAATACCTGAAGTTACTCAAGTGCACCACTGCAAAATGTCCTTTAATGATTAAGAGGACAAGCACAAGTATATTACTCGGGTCATAGTTTTTGGGTTTGTAGAAAGAAGCTTGTGAAAATTTGATTGGATTCTCGGAGATCATTCATTTAGTTGTGATGTCTTCTATCCGATAATAAGAAGCCTACACAGCATGCACAGTTTTGAGAGGTTTATAATTTGTTATTCTCATTCAAGTCTAATTTTCTTTCACTTTAATTTGTGTCTTCCATTCAGTGTATTTTCGAGATATGGGATTCACAGTGTACCCTCGCTATTGATAGTGGATCAGAAATCAAGAATGAGATATCATGGTCAAAAAGATCTTCAGTCTCTTGTAAATTTCTACAGAAAAAAGACAGGTATCAACTATGGTAGACAGACAGTCTATTTTTAAAAGATTATATTGAATTGGGTTTTAAAATTACTGATTTACCCTCTCACGCCTGCATTCTTGTACCTGCTTAGGGCTGGATCCTGTAGTGGATATGGTTGAAGATACATCATGTCATTCGAAGAGCGATCAAAAAGTTTCTCAGCTTTGGAATGGAGCATCGTTGAAGGAAAAATTCCTGAAGGAACCTTATCTATTATTCTCGATATTATTTGTCATGTCAAGGGGTTTTCAATATCTATTCCCAGAGATTGCGCCTCATATAATGGCTATATGGGCAGCATATGTTCCTCATTTGAATATCGGGATTTTTGGAGATTCGAGGCAGATAATAGGGCGAGTGTTGCATGTGATTGATGTGAATGGAATTTGGAGCAAGCTGAAGATGTGTAAAACAAGAAACTTCCATAGAGGAGCGAGAAATGCTCGGGTTTGGGCATCATCTCTGACATCTTGAGAGCGCTATAAAACTAGTTGAGGCTCGGCTCGTAAACGGAACGAACTTTTGTGCAGGAGGTTTCTGCACCCTATCTTTCCTCTTCATGTGAACTTCAATTCTTGCATACTTTGTATTGAGAGTCACTATACTCTATGTAAAGACATTTTGAGATGTCTCTTGTAATTTCAGTTGTAGAGAGAGGAAACACCATGTAAATTTTAACCATTTTCATTTTTTGTGTACATTATTTATTGACAATCGGTCCTGTAAATTTGGTAGTTTTGCACTTATAGTTTAAGCACAATCACACATATTTTGGGGTTACAAAATTATTTTAATAAACAAATCAATCACAAATTCTTTGCAATGATTAATTCTAAATAAATGAATTTATCATTGATAAATAAAATCCAAAACATTGGCAATTTTTTTTTAATAATTAATAATTAATAATCAAGAATTTAATATGGGAAATCTATATATTTTGCATTACGTTCATATATCATATATATATATATATATGAATTATTGAGCCCATTGGCGATTGAAACCTTAAGTAATAAATTGTAATGCATTTTTAAATAATAAAAAAATAAACAAGTGGAGAATTGTCAGATCGGTCGGGTTTGGCTGCTCTCCAAGGACCAAAACCCTAAAGTTGATTGCTTTCTGCACTCACTCACTCACTCTGTGTTGCCTCAAAACCCTAGTTTCTCTGCAGTCGGCAATCGTTTGTCTGAAAGAAATTTTCCGCCACCATGGTAATACATACAGTCTCACTAATCATGTATTTTCTTCTTTCAAGTTACAAGTTTTGATTTTTATACTCTGTTCTCTCTTTCTATCTAATTGTCTAAAATTTCGAATGACATCTGCATAAATATATGTACTTATATATGTGTGTATAGACTGCAGATGCTGTGAATCCGAAAGCTTACCCATTGGCAGATGCCCAGCTGACAATTACTATTCTTGATTTGGTTCAACAAGGTGCCAACTACAAGCAACTCAAAAAGGGTGCTAATGAAGGTTTCTTTCTTATACATGTCTATTGATTTTCCATTTCATTTTTTACTAAATAAATGTATCTTTAAAAGGCTGTTTTGTTTTTCGATTAATCGACTGCAGCGACTAAGACACTGAACAGAGGGATTTCTGAGTTTGTTGTGATGGCAGCTGATGCAGAGCCTCTTGAAATCCTTCTTCATCTCCCACTTCTTGCTGAAGACAAGGTACTTTTTTCGACTTCTGTATCATATGTTATACTTTCATTTTTGGATATGTGGGGTTGAATGATGTTCTTTGTCAATTTCATTGCTTCCTTAGTTTGTTTGGCACTCGTCTGTTTTACCATTTGAATGTCATCGAATGTGCAATTATGGTGTGCGTTTCTTGACAGATATGTTTAATTGTTTATTGTTTTATAAAACTACTTGTGCAATGGTTCTGTCTTTTACTCAAAAAGTTAGATAAAACAAGTCTTTCCATATAACATGAAATGCTTTGTATGACACATCATGCAATAATATGCACTCTGTTACTCCAAAGTCAAATTTTGATAATAACTTTGGTCATGTTTCGTTTACCTTCTCGTGTTTCTAATATCTTGAAATGTGAAGCACATCATCGGTTTCATTCTGGTGTTGTTAAAAATAAAATTGTACCTTTTTCGACTTTATACAATTTCTCAAACTACTTGGATACCAGTACCTCTAATTTTGAGTTATGATGAGTATGCTGTGCAGATAAACCATGTTGTTGGATTACTTGCAACCAAATACTTAAATCTTTTTAATGTTCAGTTTCTTAATATTTAATTTACTGTTATGTGCTTAATCTTTAAAATAGCATGGCATAACATGTTGTCTTTGCAATAAGCAGCATGGAAAATCATGTTTAATGGCTATGGTCACTTTGTATTCAGCTGAACTTTTGTATGTTATTACAGAATGTGCCATATGTTTTTGTACCATCGAAGCAAGCTCTTGGTCGAGCATGTGGGGTAACCAGGCCAGTGATTGCATGTTCGGTGACAACCAACGAGGGAAGCCAGTTGAGAGCTCAAATACTACAATTGAAGGTATTTAATTGACAGATTTTCATCTGTCTTGATAAAATCCTTCTCCTGACAATTTAAAATAATAATTATATATTCTTGTGAAACGCAGGATGCGATTGAGAAGCTCCTGATCTGATTGTGTAAAAGGCTATTCCAGCATGATGGGCCTTTGGATCAATCAACCACGAGGCTTTGACTGACTCACTTTCTCTGTACTATCTCTCTATTACTAGTTTCCCCTGTTTGTATTGTACTACCTAGACTTGTTTGTTGTTGGCACTTAACTATGGCGAAATGTTAAAAACTTTTTTTTTTTTTTTTTACTTGTAACGAGGACCGTAGTTTTTTTGACGAAGTGGTGTTATTTTAATTTTCTTTTGAGTTATCTTACAAGTCTTCACTTTAACCTCGTTTAAAGCTGTTGATTGTGTCAATACACTTGAAAACATCTAGCTTTGGATTATGTTTTACTCTTACTAAGATGATCCATGTCATATTTTACTAAGGTGTGGGCGAATCCGTATTTGAGCCGGAAAATTTCATAATTGAGGTAGTTAAGGTAAATATTGTAGTTGATTCATACCACCATTTAATCTGCAATTTGCATATGAAATTAATTCTCACTATAGAAAGAAAAGTTTGCTGATAAGCCACTAAATTTAGCTTCATCACTCAATAAATCAAATTAAACTACAGACTTTAAAGATTTGGTGATACATCATACATACATGTGTTCGTTTGAGAAATGAAATAAAGAAACACTCCACGCATCTCCAATTCATTGCTTATAGTTATAGACAAACCATCTTGTAGCCAACCACCCACC